CTCACTCACTCACTCACTCACTCACTCACTCACTCACTCACTCACTCACTCACCGCCACCGTCGCCACGATCCCCACCTTCATCACCACCATCACCTCTTTGAACCCCAATGTGTCTAGATCTCTAGGGTTTCTGCTCATAGACCTCTCACACACACTGTTTGTGGTCTCTTGCCGGGATATGTTTTTTGTGGTTTTTTGTTCTTGCGGAAGGGTATCCAAGGAAAATGAAGGGCGTTAGAAGGCAGGGCTTGGGTGTGGCCCTTAAGTCAAACGCGGACGGGGGAGAGGTGCCTCCCCCCAAAGAACACAAAGTGAAAGACTTTAAATTCTACCCTCCACTGCCCTGGAGTGGTTCCTCCCAATTCCGAATTCCGCTCTCGGGTGGTCTACGAAAGTATGCTCAGTTGCAACCCTTGAGTGGTCCACAAATGTATGCTCCAAGTTGGAATTGTTCCCCCTTGTTTGCTTGCTTGCTTGCTTGCTTGCTTGCCTGTTGGCTGACGAATCTGTGTCGGATTGTTTCAGTTTTTTAGGATAAGTAGCGCTTTCATATAGTCATACAGGGGTACCTGGTGGTTTTTGTTTGGTTTTAGTGAGGTACTTCGGGTTGTGGGATGGTTTTCTTCGGTTGAGTCTTCTCAAAGCCGCAGAAGACCAAAACAACGCAAGCACGGTCGTTGCCAACACCGCTTGGATGACTTTGAGGCCAAGTCCCTCCTGGATCAGTGGTCCAGCCCAAACCAGGCAGGGCACGTTTTGTTGAGGATTCGCTCGATTTGTTGGAAAAAGTGGTTTTTCCTGGTGTCACAACTTCATACCCAAGGAATGTCAGAAAGAAGTAGTGCCGCAAAACCGTTTCTTCCCACAGCCATGCCATTTCCTTGGCCCAGCCACACAAGTCACACCAGTTATATATGTTGTAGCACAACATGGCCTGAGCCCGTGTGGCCAGCCTGCTGACCCTCAATGTGGCTGGTGAACTTTACCGATCCGACCATCCTCCACATCCGAACCCCGTCCACGCCCGTCCACTCCACGCGTTGGGAGGATGGCTTAAGCCTCCGGGATGCGCAGCGTTTGTTGGAGGCGTGGAGAGCAGAGAGGTCCTTTCGGTGGTGGAAGAGTGGAATGATGAATGGTGCGACTCGTAGGGAATGAAATGGAATGAAGGAACGGATCCAAACGAATTTCTATTGGGGGCTCATTCCCTCATTCCCTACGAGTCGCACCAGTCAGATGATGCAGAATGGTGACGTGTGTTGGAGACCAAGTGTGCTTTGGCAAGAAGACACATCAACAAAAAATTCAGCATGTGCGAACGGAAGAAAATCATTGTGTGGTTAGAAAGGAAGAGACTCAAGAGACCCGATCCATCCTATCTTGTAGACATAAAAAAGGAAGACAAGTCCATCTCCATGACGAGCTCGGGTGAGCTCTGCAGGCTGCGGCGCAGGAATGTTGGCTGCCTGGTGCAAGCCTGCATCTGAGTGGGTTGGAAGGCTGGTTTCCACGTCCCAATCTGCTGGTCTTCCAGGTTTCTGTGGCTTTATTGGTGTCACCGAGGCCGATGGCCTCCACCAATTCGTGCAGTAATTACAGACCCCTTTCGTGTAATTTGAGAATCTTGAAGTTTGACGACTTTATTAGGTAGCTGTGGCCTTTATCATGTGTTTTGCACCTGTTTTTACTTTTTCGTTGGTCTCACGCAGACCCCTGTGTGAGTGCCCTCAGAATTACACTTTGCAGCAGCTCCCCACATTTAGAGTCTGGTGGATTTATTCCTCTTTGAGAACACAGGGAATACGTGTGCGTGTGATGTGTATAAAATTGTATAAATATAGAATAATATAATATATATATATATATCATTGTATAGAAACCTCGGATGCTTCGCAATCGGC